TACATCACAAGAACAATTCATCGATTATAATCATAGTACTTTCAGACGACAACCACAAAAAATACCATGATGGCATTAGATATACAATCATCTCATGTGAATTGAAAACACAAATCTGAAACCATAAAAACATTGTATTGTTAATGACTATTTTTCGTTTTTACATATTGGTTAATATATATATATATATACGTAGATATCCATGTGCAGTTCTTTTTTGAACATGTCTCATCAATTTTCTCATCTGCTCAGAATCAGAATCAAATCTGAACAGAATCTGAAAAATCGGAGAAACTCTGAAAATCTGAAAAAATCTGAAAAATCCATGTGCTTCTTAGTGTTACTAGAGCTTCCTTTTGGTTTTTTCTTTTGAGTTTTGATTTGCTCTAGTATTACTGGAGCTTGCTTTTGATATTTTTCTTTTGAGTTTCCATTTGAATTTGTATTCCTGGAGCTTCCTTTTGAGAATTGTCTATTGAATTTCCATGTGCTTTAGTATTGCTGGAGCTTCCTTTTGAGATTTTCTTTTGAATTTTGATTTGCTTCAGTATTAGTGGAGCTTTATTTTATACTTTTCTTTTGAGTTTCCATTTGATTCAATAGTGCTGGAGCTTCCTCTTGAGACTTTTCTTTTGAGTTTCCAATTGATTCAGTATTGCTTCTGTTTCCTTTTGAGTTGTTCCTTTTGTTTGCGATTGCTGGAGCTTCTTTTTCCTTTTGAGATTTGGATTGAGTCTCCGTTTGATTTAGTATTGCTGGAGCTTCCATTTGAGATTTGGAGTTGGGATTTGCTGGCCCGATGGACCATACTAACAAGGGGTGTTATTGTTTGGGGTGCAAGGGGCTAATGTGGGGTACCCTTGAAACCCTGTAAACTTTCATTTTGAGTAAGGGATCTGACAAGAAATCAAAGCCTTTTTTGTGGTTTGGGCAGGCACCAAAGCATCCACCAAGCTTTAAGAGGAGTGTGGGAGGTGCAACTGGGAGCCCGAAGCAAGAGGGAAGGCCAGAGATTAGGAAGGGCCAAGTTTGCAGAGTACATGCCAACACGAATGAGCGTGTGAATTGTCCGTATGAAAGACATGTTTTGCCATTTCTAAGGAAATGAGCTCAAGAAGCAACGGAAAAATTAGATAGCAGCAGCTCGGGGGGTGTTCCCTGTTGTTTTGTTTTACTGATGGTGTATTTTCTGAGTTGTGAATTGAGGGGGGCGCCAGGACCGCACTAATAGGGGCGGGGGGGGTGACTAATACGAAGCTAACTTTAGTCGGGCCCAACGAGTCCCGACTACAGTTTTTTCTTAGTTTTGCAGGGTGTTGCTGGTAATGCTGGGGATGTTGCTGTCGCCGCTGGTCTTAAAAACGCGTGGGAAAAACTGTAGTCGGGCCCAACATGTCCCGACTACAGTTTTTCTCCAATTTTTAAGGGGGTGTTGCTCAAGGTGTTGGTTTTGATACAGGAGGTGTTGCCGGGGCATCGGCCTTTGGGGACCAGCCTCTCATCCCAATTGTTTGTTTGATTTTTGGGGTGTTACATTTGGACTGCTCAGGCCGGTCTGGACCCCCCCAGAAAACGTGTTCAACCTTGTTGTGAAGAGGGCGCCTGTTAGAACCGTGTGGGCCGAGTTTTTAGTTGAAATGACATCATTGATCACGCAGAAGTGTGAGGCACTTGCGCGAAGATACGTTTGCTCATGATGGTCTTGCCGACTCTCGCAGACAAAAACAACTTGACATTCACTGATGCACGCAAACCTAAGAGTTTATTGGGGGCGCATCACAAAAAAACCTTCGAAAGCTATTGTACAACTCGAAAGCAGATTGCACAACTCAAAGATTGCACTCAGATACCACTGTCAACACAAATATCAAGATTCCGTGTTGGTGCATAGTCAGGACGTATTCTAAGCGGCCAAACACGGGCCGACAAGGCAAACAACCGAAGAAAACAATCGTATGTGCAAAAGCCTTTTGACCGGAACAACTTTGCCTTTCGGGGCTCCAGGATGGAACCCAAAAAGGACCCTCCAAGAAAAGGCTGGAACCCAGAAAAACGGTGGTTCCAAAAACACACGATGGAACCCAAACAACCCTCCCCATAAATATGAGACCAATCCACAAGAGGACGGAGCCCACAAAAAGGAACCCTCCAAGAAAAGGATCCGAGCGCCAATAGGGGGTATTGTGGTCAAAACGCTTTGCCTGGAAAACATGTTCGTTTCGGCAGTTTATTGACTTGCGGCCAAACAAAGGTAAACAAGGCGAATCACCGAAGAAATCAACATGCTCTTGTAACAGCCGCCGCCTTCTGGGGCTCCAGATGGGACGAAAGGGAACCCAAGAAAAAATGGAACCCCCAAAGCACGCATTCAGGAAAAACCTCACTTAGGGACCCGCCAACGAAAAATTGGAACCCAACAAGGAGCCCTCCCAAACAAAGATGTAACCCAAACAGGAACCCTCCAACCAACAACCGACGAAAAACAATCGAGAGCCAACTA